AGGAAGGTACTACACGAGTATTTATTTTTTAAGTCCTACAGAGAGGAGTCTGTTCTGGAGGTAAACACAAAGCAGGAGGTACAACATGATCAACTGACAGTAGGGGAAGGAATTAGGTAAATCAGCCATACCTGATTTGTCATTCTCAACTGAGAGAGGTTTAATTCCCTTCTCAGCCTGGAAAAATTCCCCAAGAAGAGACAGCCAATGACAAACCCAGAATGGCATTTGTTTCCGTAGTATTTAAATCTTATTTCCTTAAAAGCTGTGCACACAGAGGAATGCAATTCTCTTGCTAATCTGACCCATCTTCTTTTCTATAGCATGAACTGTCCTTTGCCAAACTCCGACTAAAATATACAAATCCCAAAATCCTACAGCCTCCAGAGTCAATTCCATGGGTACAGAACAGGCTGCGACACACATGATGCTGTATCATTGATTCCATGCATGGCTTTGTTTATGGTCAGGATTTACAGTAAAAATAGAAATATTTCTGGTTTAATGATTCATTGTTGGAATGAATGTTTACACATTTTTAAACAGAAATGCTCAGAAGTGCAATTAACTTGTTGAGCACAATAAAGACAACCCAGAATGATGCCCAATCAGAGGGCAGAAGTGGGGAATCAGAGTTTAATAAACCTCAAGGCAGGCCACTTAGCCTGGTATCCTCCTTCTGGTAGAGCCAGGGTTTTGTTTTAGAAAAAAAAAATCCACTTCAAAACACTTTATTTGTGAGACAAGCCTTGGTCAATATAGAATACACTAACTAAGGACAAAATCTCCTACCGACTCTTGCATGCAAACAGTTTATGCCAGAAGCACAAGGCAAAATCCGCTGTAACAACATGATCAGAGGGCTGGAAACATTAAACAACCCAAAATGCCTTGCAAACTGCCTTTATGAGTTGGTGGACTGAACTTGGAAGAACGAAGCCCTTAGCACAGTGGCAGTGTTTTCACACTGCAAAGGAGGCGAGTACATTCCTGAAATGTACCGAAGAAGAATACGTGAACAAAAACTACAGATGACATTATACTTAAGAGTAATATGCTCAAATCTGAAATACTGTGCAGAGAAATTACTTCAGGATTGGGCAGAAATGCCCAGCAAAGAATGGCAGAGATGGACTGTCAGCAGGAGAGACCTGACACCAAAGTAGATATACTCAAGGAGAAGAATCCGTAGGGACCTGAATGTAGGATTCAAATTACAAAGACAACAGTAAAAACTAGTCTCTTCCTCCTCTTCAGCTGTGACCCCATTATGCAAGAACAAGGACCTACTCAAATTCACAGGGCAGCTAACCAGGGAATGGATAAAGCAATATTTATTTACCCAGCCACAGCATGCGAGAGTCACTGATGCAGGAAGTTCCTGAGAAACAAAATGCGTAGCTGTAATTTAAAGGGCTCTTGATAATTTTATCATCACAAGCATTTCTAGCTTTGCAAGCTGAAATAAAAAGTAGTAATCTTAATTGCCATTCTTCAGCTTTAAAAATGGACACGTGAGTACCGCAACTACTGCTACAGGGAGGATACCAGACTAATTGGGTTAGTGTCTTAACCAGAGTGGCAGCACCTATGTTTCTGCAGCTGACTTTGTGCATTTCCACCCATTTTGATCACGAAGCAGCCTCTGGAGCCAAAACTGTTTCACGCTTTTCAGTGTGCCGAATTACTTTCTTGCACACTGCAGAACACATGCAATATTTCCAGGGTTTATTACTGTTCAAAGTCTCAAATACACTCCTTGGTTTTATAGAGCCAATTTAAAAAAAAACCCCAACAAATCAGGCACTGACATTTTGGAGCCCATGCTTGTGCTCTCAAAGTGCCTAGAGCTCTCAGTAAGAGCTGAGGGCAGGGAATATTAGGTTTGGATCTGTCAGGGGAAAAGTTACCCCGTTTTCTCCCAGGTTGAAAAGTATCAGAGAAGTCACACAAGTCTGAAACAGGAGATCATTGCATCAAGCCACAGTCTAACACAGAATATAGCCTTCCACCTCAGGAGAGCATTTTGTTAACATCCCTCTGACACTACTTGGTGAGCAATCTGTTCCCAGCTTAAAAAAAACCCACCAACCTAGTGGAGCCTCCAGAAACGATCATTCCAACAACAAAGAGTTGGAAAATGCTTTCAGAGGAGCCACAAATCCACCAGGCCAAAGCAGGGCGCCTCAGATCTGGCAGGGAAGGCCGGAGAAACAGGTTCCTTATTTAGCCATTTCAGCCCTGGTATCGTGTTAGAGTTGATTTGCTCTTCCAGCCAGGGGCGCATCCGCATCCTTTCGACAGGCATTGTCACCCACCCGGGACGGAGCTGCAGGGAACAAGGGACAAGGTTACCTGTTTTCCAGACAGAATTCCCAGGCAGCTCCCCCATCTCTGCACAGTACAGACTTTGTAGGCAGCTTTGCAGGCATCAAGCAATTATAAGAGTGACTTTGGATCTCTGCGGGAGCCTCCCCTAAGAGCAACTGACACGACAAAGCCTTCTCTATGACAGAAAACACTCTTCTGATACACCTGGACTAGGAAAACCTTCACCTGAAGAAGACACATCATATTGGCAAAAGCTTGTCTGCTAATACAGGTGGGATAACAGAGGCCACAAAGAAAAACAATTATGCTCCTGAAGAGACCTCTTTTTGGCCCACAGATCTGCATTTGCACAAGACCTTTTTTTGCCGATAAAAAAAGATGTAACTAAAACAATTCACGTGCAGGAGGCATCACTGTACTAGCTAAAACGAGGCACCTGCTAATGAGAGTGCTTTCAAACAGCTGTGTCTATCCTATAAACTTGACTAAAATTATGAAAAATACATTTTACATCACAGCAATTTCGCAGACCACTTTGGCTCTGGCTGAGTAGTTTAACCTCCTCCCTCCAGCTTTCTCTGATCAACCTGGTCACTGATTTTTTAGCTGTTATTTTATGTTTCGGTACTGCTTAGCTAGGAATTAAGTGCTGTACAGCCCACTCAGCTGCACCATGCCACACTGTATTACTCAGTTTAGACTCAAACTGACTTTTTTTTTTTCCTGTCTCTCTATCTCTCTCTCACACACACACACACGTGTGACCCTGATGCCACTTCCCTGTTAAGAGCTGTAAATTATTGACATAAGAGTCCAAAGTCTTGAACTCAAGGCAGAAAATTTTAAAAACATTAACCTATCTCAGGCACCACTCTGAAAGCACCAACTGGCACTAGATGCAGATTAAAGCACCACATTAAACTCCTGTTAAGCAGCCTGCAACCCATCATTTCTCTGTTCAAGTACTTGCATTTAGGCTTCTTCTTCTTCTCCTCTCCCCCTCTGCACCAGGCTCAGCTCCTTCCTCTCTCCTTTGTTCTTCACATCTGTGTTCTCTGCATCATTCTTAACTTCTCTGCTCCGCTATTCTTGTCACCTTTGATCTGAAAAAAAAAAAAAAGAGAAAGAAAAATGAGTAGCCCACGTATTTGAAAGCACGCAGCAATGACACAAATGTAAATGGGTTTGTTCTTGCTTCCTATGGGAGTACAGGCATCAGACAGACTAACAATTAGGCAGTACCAGGCCCACACCCAGCACAAGAGGAAGAAAAACGTTCAAAGTTTCCTCTCATTGCTCTGAGGACATGTATTTCCTGAAACTAATAAGGAATTAAAACCTGAGTGCAACAATAAGGCTCTTTGATGTGTTCAGAGAATTTACCAGCAGCCCTGCTCACACTAATCTCTAGGCAAACATTTTATTTACTACTGTGTGGAGCTGGTGACTCGCGCTTCAGCCGCAGCCTTTTCAGTGACTATGAATTTCTAAAATAGCTCAGAAAATGGTTGCAACTGCTCAGCTCCCTTTCAGGTTCACGTCAGACACGAAAAAACCAGCCAACCCCAGAACCCAACAGTGGCTGTGCCCTTCTGTAAACTCCCTCTCTGTGCAAGAGGGAAGCTGTTTTCTGGGCCAGGGCAATGCTGGTGCAGTATTTTTGGCCCCCAGCATGGTGGCGAGCTGCTGGCCACACCACTGCAGCCTCCTCCGCTTGGCACCAACAATTCCCATCCAGGTAGCAGAGTGTGTACAGGAGATCTGTACCATCTTCCCCTACTACACATTGGGTCAAAGATGAAAAATGCAAATGGCAATGTACTAAAAACGCGAGCAAATTTTGATTCATCTGTCAAGGAAGAAACAAGTAGATGCCATGATCGTCTTAGATGCATTTCTTTGTAAGGTATCTTTAAGTATGCATGCACTTTGAGACAATTCCTGGAAACACTGTGCATCATCTTCAGCGTTCAATATATGAGTGCTCCCATTTAGCAGTGGGACTTGTCTTATCTTCTGGGTAATGAGCCCATAAGACAAATCTCAAGCCCATCTGAATGAACAAATTAGACAGAAGGCAGAAAAGTAATCTTGAAGGCAGCAGCAATGAATCCCACTTGGGACAGGAAACGCAGGAGAAACAGAAGCTGCCTTTGTGCAAAAGTAATGCATTTCAGGAGATGTGAAAGCTGCCAACATCACTACTATAAGGAAGCTGGTCTTGCCCAAAACAGCACTGTCGAGCCAGTCGTCTCTTCCCTCCCACATCCCTGGGGGCTTCCCCGGCTGCTCGCCCGCAGATGCTGCGGTGCTCATCTCCTTTTCGGCACCCTGGAACTCCTCTGGGATTAGCACCCGCAGCTGTCAGCACACACCTTCACATCCATCACCCACACCAAGACCAATTAATCCCGAGGTAATCAGAAAAGAGGTTTGGCTTGTGAGAAGGGAGGAGTGGCTCCCAAGATCTGTTTATCTGAAAGTAAAACCAAACCCAGCTAAAAATAACCTGCAATGATGTTCAGCTGGAGGGACGGTGGGCATCTTTTAGGGGAACGTCTTTCACAAGGGGGGGCAAGCACAGCATGCTTCTGCTCATCAAAAAACATCCCATGCTCCTCTAAGAGCACGTGCTGCAGAAAATAAAGCCTGACGTCTTCACGAGACACCCCCATACCTGTCTGCCTCAGGACAGCACTGAGCACAACGGTGCTAAAATGTAGCGGGTTTTTTGGCAGCTGCACCTCAACAACATCCTTGTGATAAAAATACCAAGTCAACTCTACTGAGCAATTGCCTGTGGGAAAATAAAGGTGCCGCATCTCCCCTCTTGAGCTGTCAAACACATGATTTATTCGTACAGAAAGAAACATCAACTTCTGCAGCCTCTGTCTGTCTCTAAGCAGGGTTGTGAAGTGAACTTGTGAGTCTTTTTTTGATGGCTCCAGGTGGCAGAACCTGAAGTCCACCCATCAGGGAGTAGTGGGACAATCACCTTCTGCCATTAAGAGTCATTCAGGTTTGCAAAGACCTTTGAAATTCTCCAAAACATAAGCAGCAAAGGCATGTAAAGTTTCAGAGGCCATCATCTAACATCAAGCCAGCTTCAGCCTCCATCAGAATACATTAATTATAAAGCAAAGCTGCAAAGCCAGAAACTAAGGTGAGCCATACAAAACAGCAGGCATGCCAGGTTCCTTCACTCCAGCCTCTCTCCAGTGTACCCAGTGGAAAGGAAAAAGCAGAAACAGTGGATCCTTGTACGGAGAATAAAACATCAATATTTATAATCTGAACCAGACTGGGAGCACCTATGCACCGATCTCCCATTCCTGGTAAGCGTTACCATTGCACTTCCCCTGCACATTTACATGTAAAAGCAGGTATGTGCAGGTGTCTCGGCACAAGTGGACTCCTACCAGTATTTTCGAGTAGTTTAACCTCCTCCCTCCAGCTTCCTCTGATCAACCCGGTCACTGATTTTTTTAGCTGTTATTTTACATTTCGGTACTGCTTAGCTAGGAAGTAAGTGCTGTACAGCCCCCTCAGCTGCACCACGCCACACTGTATTATAGTGTGAGCTTGTGAGCTCCTGAGCCATGGGCACCTATTCGCTGCCCTGCGCAAACCTCCCCAGAAGCCCGGTTACCTTCTCAGCCTGAACCTTCACACTCGGGTTAAATGGGAGAAAAATGGCTTAATGCCTGCCTTGGGTCACTTGGCACCATCCTCCTCTGCCTCGGAGAGACCTTGGCTGGAGATGGCCAGGCTGCAGGGGAGAGGAGCAGAGCTGGCTGGGGCTGCAGGGGGAAGGAGCAGCTCCAGCTCACCAGCGGCGAAGGACCACCTCTCACTCCATCACCCCCACCCTTCGGTCCCATCCCAATTTTGTCAGACGCTAACGTTACTCTTTGCATAGGCAGCTTTGTGCACAAGACCAGGGAACTCAGCAGGCTTACAAGCAACACTTCTTTCCGTAAGACTTTTTTTGTCTATTTGAACCCGAATTGTGGCATTTAACCTGCTCAAAGATGTGTGGGACAGCAAAACCGAGAGGTGAAGGCCCTCCAGCATGGGAGTGGGAACGAGCAGCTGGGAATGACAGGAAGGAACCCCTTAATCCAGAACCGCTAATGAAGCCCCACTGCTTTTAAACCACAGCTTCAAACTTGGACTCTACTGAACCCCAGCATCTCTTTGGGGAGAGCACGGGAAAATGCTAAACACTCCCAGAGACCCATGCTGGAGTCAAACTTTCTGGCATTACACAGAAAATAATTGTTTGTTTTTTCTTCTGGTTTAGCACTGTCCCATGTGGGGGAAGGGAAGAATAACCGCCAAGAAACACAGTCAACTGCTAATGCAGATGAAACCCAAGAAATCAGTTTTCTACCATACAAGAAAAGGGGAGCTCATTTAGACATGGAAGTAGGGTTACCTGCCGGGAACTCTTTGTATGAATGCTTGCCATTCTTAACAAGACAGCCAACCTTCCAAAGCCACAATTTTTAACCATACCTCTTACAAATGTATTAAGGCTGTTAGCTCTGTGAATATAATTTCCCTTTTTTTTGCTCCATTTTTATCACATGCCTCCTTTTTAAAGGTAGCTATAGTCAGTGGTGGTTGCCTTTTCGGTGGTGGGAGGTTAAATGCATCGACATACATTAAGACATCGATAAAATCACTCCCAAACAGGCACCAAGGGTGTCAGACACTAGCCCCAACTCAATGGCATTTGTCTGGAAGAGGAGGCCATCAGAAGCCTGCGAAGAGCCAAGCCCCATGCAAGAAGCACGGCCCACAGATGCGCTGGCGCCACAGTTTATGGAGGGATTATTTTGACCTTTTTGGAAGATTTATGTACTGTACTATTCATGCTAGTCCTGCAGTCACTTCAGCCTTCTTTTTTTTTTGCAACTAGATACCACAAAAACATGGTGGAGGCTACCCCCCGACAAGCTATAAACTGTCCTA